GATCTAAGTGACTACTGTCAACAATGGTACTGGATGGAAACAGAAGAACCATATAAGCAATACATAAACACTGAAAATCAACCACAAGCGAATATACAATTCATTTCAACAACCACATTTAAGAAAAACCTAACTGAGAAAATTACAAACATTCTAGATGAAAACATGCCAAATAACCAGACTATGAGACTACTCTTTGACCCCAAAAATCCACTACAAATATACAACAGAATTGGAAAAACACAAGCAATGGCGGCCGTAAACCTAATCTCTGAAGTTTCACTGAAGGTTCACATTTTAGCATCCATCAAAGGAAAAAATCTAACAACAAAGCACTACTTACAAGATTGCAAGAAGATGAAATTGGTAACCAATGGCAGGACAGACTGGAGATTCAAAAAAGACAAAAAAAATGATCAACAAATAATAGAAGACCTAACATGCATAAATACAATACTAAACCAGCAAATAGAATTTCATAACCAAAACCAAACCTAAACAATTGTAAAACCAACCATCCCCTCCCAATCCCCTCCCATTACCTGTACACAGGAAAAAATACTGTAGTCCACAGTATAGAAACCTCTAGCAAGTGTTCCACCCAAACGAAAAAATATATTTTGCTCAATAAATGTTTGTTGAAGTTTTGTTTTTTCATTTTGATTTCTTTTGTTTTATTTTAATTAGTTGAATTGAACTGTGGATTAATGTTTTCAAAGAAGAAAAAACGACCTACTATCTCAGCTCCAACTAACTTTGAGCATCGTGTTCACACTGGATTCGACCGACGGGAAGGCAAATTTGTCGGCTTACCTCCTCAATGGACAAGCCTAATTCAAGGTGCACCTACAACTCCTGCAGCTTCAAATAATGTGACACCAACTATTGTTCGTCCCAAAACATCTCCTAACCATCAACAATTACATTTGAGCCAATATTCATTGAACTCAAATGGCATGTCATCGTCAAAACCAGTGTCTCCACAGCCAACACCAATACCATTCCAACAGCCATTCCAATCACATCAACCACAACAGCTACAGCATCAACAATTGCTTCTACAACAGATCCATCAATCTCCAAATCAACACCCACAACAACAGTACATGCAACTACAACAGCAATTAGTGAGTATAAATGATTATTCATATTTCAATGTTCAGAGAAAGTCAAATTCTAGTTAAATAAATCATAAAGATTGATCATAAACAAAAGTTACTTTCAGTTCATATCAAATATGGTAAATTCATTCATTCGTTCATTTCTTCATATTTTAATTTATTTTATGTATTCTCACTTCCTCAGGATCTTACTCAACAACTTCTCCAACTTCAGCAATTCCAACAACAAAATGAAGCACAACCACAACATGCTTTGCATCAATCACAACTTCAGCATCAACAGCAACAACAACAGCAACTGTCACAGCAACAGCAGCTACAACTACAACAACAACGACAATTGCAACAGCAACAAGCACAGCAACAGCAGCTTCATCAACAACTTCAACAACAACAACAACAGCAACTTCATCAACAGCTTCATCAACAACTTCAACAGCAGCAGCAACAGCAAAAACAGCAACAAGCACAGCAACAAGCACAACAACAAGCTCAGCAACAAGCGCAACAACAAGCGCAGCAACAAGCACAGCAAGCACAACAACAACAGCAAGCACAACAACAACAGCAAGCACAGCAACAACAACAACAACAACAACAACAACTTCAACAGCAGCAACAACAGCTTCAACAACAACAAACACAGCAACAAATCAATCAACAAGCAATTCAATTTCTTCGACAATCTCCTGGGCAGGAAAACATGCAAGTGACAACATTGCAAAAGGATAGCAACCGAGATTTTCAACAGAGACTTTCTCAAGAACAGTTTCGTGCCGCTTTACAAATGGTTGTTAGTCCAGGCGACCCTAGAGAGAATTTAGAAAATTTTGTTTTGATTGGTACAGGATCAACGGGTCAAGTTTGTATAGCTACTCAAAAAACAACTGGTAAACTTGTTGCTGTTAAAAAAATGGATCTACGGAAGCAACAACGACGTGAATTATTATTTAATGAAGTTGTAATAATGAGAGACTATCATCATCCTAATATAGTTGAAATGTATGATTCGTATCTTGTCAACGAAGAACTATGGGTTATTATGGAGTTTTTAGAAGGTGGTGCTCTTACTGATATTGTCACTCAATCAAGGTAATTCAGCTCAATAACTCAATGGCTTAAAGATGAATTAATCTCATTTTTTGTATTTTTACAGAATGGATGAAGATCAAATCGCAACTGTCTGTATGCAATGTCTCAAAGCATTGGCATTCCTACATTCCCAAGGAGTTATTCATAGAGATATTAAAAGTGATTCCATTTTATTAGCTGCTGATGGAAAAGTGCGTAAACTTTTTAACTTTTTTCGTTTGTGTTGTATTGTTTCATTGAAGTCAATTTACATTGAACGAGAACAACACAACACTACCTATTCTGATTCTTTCCAGTTTCTTCATTTACATTAATATTTTTTTTTCTTGTCTTTAGATTAAACTTTCTGATTTTGGTTTTTGTGCCCAAGTGTCACCTGAAGTTCCTAAACGTAAATCTCTTGTGGGAACTCCATATTGGATGGCACCAGAAGTAATTTCACGACAACCCTATGGGACAGAAGTTGATATTTGGTCTCTCGGAATAATGGTCATTGAAATGGTTGACGGAGAACCACCGCTTTTCGATGAACCTCCATTGCCTGCAATGAGACGCATAAGGGATATGGAACCTCCTAAATTAAAGAATGCTCTTAAGGTCTCACCTCAGCTACAAAATTTCTTGGATAAAATGTTGGTCCGTGATCCAGCGCAAAGAGCAACTGCCGAAGAGCTATTACAGCATCCATTCCTAAATCAAGCTGGACCTCCATCATTATTAGTGCCTTTGATGCGTTCCTTTCGCTTAAGTCCATGCTGTGTTAGAGATGGTTAAAGTGTTGGAATCTTCAATTCAATTGTTGACCCTTTTTTCCTTTACGCCTTCTTCGATAGTCTTTCCATCTCAAATAATGATCTTTGACTTTCTTTTTTCATACTAACAATGGAGAGAAAATAATCTCAATTAACGTAATTAGTGACTTTCAATGACAAAACTTATATGAATCAAAATATGATTAACTTTTAACAGCTATTTAATTTGAATATAAAAACGAGTGGAAAGCTCTTAGACAATTCCAATCAAGTAAATATGAGAATCAATAGGGATTGTAAAAAACTCGTTTCGCCCAGTTTTTATGATTAGCGTACTGTGAATATTAATTGTTTATTGACAAAGACATATAATCCGTCCGATTAAGTCCAACCTTTATAAGTCGCCTTACAAATATTTACAGCAAGTGCCTTCAGCAACAATGCATTTCAATTGCCTGGTTAATGATTTGAAATAGTAAAACTTATCAATCATTTATTCATGTTTTTTAGTAAAATTTGTTGTTAGTATTTTAGTTCATTTTCTTACCTTCAACAGATTGTTTAATAATCTCGATTATTGCTCTCCTTTTATCGTTAACTTGGATGTCTCTGCATTTAGCTGTTTATGCTGTTATAAACTACTTATAATAATTAATTTGGTTTATTTTAAATTGTTACTCTTTCTAAGGTTCTTCTAGCTTTTCATCAACAAATCGATATCAAAATCTCACCTAAATCATGCATTTACTATAAGAATCTCTTTTATAATATTTTATTGCACACACTAAATGAATTTCATATTTTTTATGCTCTACTCACAGGATAGTACAATCAGTATACAATCAAATTTGGCAAAAACAAAGTATCAAACGGTTTAAAGAATGAAGATCCTGATTGATTCACCATTTACCTGAACAATTTACTTTTTAAAGCTATTGCGTCTTTAACGATCAAAACTTCAACTTGAATGACAGTTATTAATTTCAATAGAACCGTCAATAATTAATGTGATTAATTGTCACGGTTGAACAAATGATATTCAACAGTTAAAACATCTCATTCTCTAAGTCAACAGTTTCTCAGAAGCCAATATTTACTGTCAAATCTGATTGATACAGCTTTGTATGATTCCTTTGAAATTTACATGGATCTTTTTAACAATTTAATTTTACAAATGAATCTGCATTCAATTGTTACCAAACAATTTTTTAATCATGTAAGTCTGTTGATTAACAAAAATGTAACACCAACAATGCATCAAATTTTACTAACCTTCCTACTAATTTTGATTCCCACTTTGCTCTTACATTCTGAGAAATAAAGCTTTTGATTTATCTTTGTTTGTCAATCAGATTAATAATCACGCTAAAATTGACTCAATCGGTCATCATCGTAGTCGCCATGTCATCATGTCTGTCTTAAACACCCAATTTCGCTTAATAAGTTTTCATCTCTTACATTTCTTATTCAATGGCCTCTTCCATTGTTAGTTATGCATTTGCTTCATTAACATACTTGACCTGTCTTCACCAATTAATTTCAAAGGTTTCTTACTGAGCGATGAGAAAATTTAATCACAACAGTTGAAATTTAATCAACTCCATCAGGTTATATCCATATGTATGGAACCAGCGTAGATGGTTTAAGATTTCATGAAAGTTCAATTCGTTTGGTAGATCCTGAGTCGATTAGTGCCATTAACGAGATTACAATTGGAACCATTTTAACCTTTACAATTATTCTTAAACCATTTGAACAAAACTAATCAACAGAGGGTCGCGATGGTGCCATAACGGACGCTGCTGGCTTACACAGTTTATATTGAGTAGTCACACAGAAACAGATTTAAATACATTAGGCCCTTCCAAAATGCAATGAATGTAATATTTCCAAATAAATAAATCAATCATTTTTAATTTAGATTAAATTTCATGTTTGTGTTTATAAGGATCTTTGATAATTTCTTCAACTTGTTCCCAATTCCTTGATTCAATCTGGAATAAAAAGAGAAAGATTTAGATGTTTAAAGACTCAAATTCATGTAAAAATGAACATAAGATCACCAGAATCATTTTCCGAGTTAGGCTTATTGATTGTATTAAAGCTCTTACAGAATATGAAATAATAAAATAATCTTTGAATCAACATCTAAACAAAGCTTTTATTTCTGAGTTTCTCGATTATAAATTGATTGAAGCAATTATTTAATCAATCGATGATCTTACTTGTGAATTGAGTTTTAAACTTGATCAATTACGAATGATGATGCATTTAGAAACCAAAAGACTAAAAATTTTATGACATTAACTTACCTCATTGGCTAATTTTTTCAACCTTTTATTGTCTTCTGTTTTATCAAATCGCTCCAAGTAACGTTGGCGATAAAACAGAATGACATTTCCATAGATTCGCTCTTTATGGTCATACTTATTCCTTAAATCACAAGCTCGATCCCAATTGTAAACTTCCAAATTAATTAAGATCGCTCTTAGAATGAATTTACTAGCAATTAAAATATTCTCGGCTTCTTGAATGTTACCACAAAGCAAGGCTATTTCAGCATTTCGAGCTGCAGAGTCGACCAGTTTTTGGATTCGTTGAATGTACAAAACCTTATCAACCTTTTCAATTGCTGAATATGCATATTCAGCTATCTCTAAATTATGACCATTAAGAGCCATTCCTGCCAATGAAGCCCAAAGAGGTAAATAATCAGGAGATGATTTTAAATATCGGCATAACTGAAGAGCTTCATTCCATTTTCCATTTGAAACATAACCATGTAAGATTCTTGGAAATGAGCTGATTGAGTACTGAACTGGTGAACCATCAGACAAACGTAGAGTTAGTTGATTATTGTGAAAATCTGTTAATTGTAAATTTCTAGAAGCATTGTCTGACCAATCTTTTTCAATAACTGCCAATGAAAATAAATCTCGATCAACAAAGCCGACTTGAGGATAAAGCCAGCAAGTGATTCGTCCATTTTCACCTAAAGCAGCTAACATGTTGGCAGTGTCACACCAAAGAATCCATTTAATCATTGAGCTTATTTTAATTATTTGGGATGAAACTGAACGCGATCGAACCAAAGTCAGATATAAATCACAATTTTTATCAATAAATGCCACTTTTCGTTCATTTGGCGGTCCAGTTGAGTCAAGAGCAACAACCATTACCTCTGATTTATGTTTAATCATTGGGTTTGCGTTTATGGGTTTACCAGTTGGTAGATCAATGAAGTGAATTATTTTATTATCATTTGCATCGATAGCTGCCAATGTTTCAGGACTAATTGAAATGGTTCTGTGATTTAAAAAGTCAGTCTTCATTCCAATCCACTTGAGATTGTTGAGAAAGCGTCCATCGTATGAGTAGAGATAAACATTGGTGGAATCAACCAAAAGAAATGAAGTCGATGATTGCAAGAGACAATTAACAGTTGAATCTTTCAAGTCAATAGTGTAAGGAGCATTTAAATTAGTTGGACGATAAATCAAACATTGATTTGTAGTTATGACAATTAGGTATCCATGTGCAAGGGAAAATTGGGTTATGTTTTCTCGAAATTCAATTTCTTCATCAGTATTTATCAAGATATCTCGAAATTTTAAAATCTTTTGACTTAAGCAGCTAACCTGGTAATTAGCCCAGTCAATGGATTTATCAATAACATGGGCAAAAATGACGCTTCCATTACCCGTGACTCCAGCTATTTGAGTTGAGTCTTGAGACCAACAAAGGTTGAAGATACTTTGGATTGCGGGTTTATTCAATGAATAAGTCCAACCATGTTGATCACACAGTTTGAGAGCATTGAAGGAACCAACAGCAAATAGTGATCCATTCGGTGTCCATGTTAACGATGTTATTGGGTAGTCATTGATTCCACTGATGAACAATAATCTACCAGAAGAATCCCAAACTTTATAGCGACAATCCTCACCTCCACTAATTATCGTGTTATTGCATTGGTTCCAACCAACTTTCAGTATAGCACCATCATGAGCTTTCCACAAAATTGGTTTCACTTTAGGTGATAGAGGTTTAATTTCAAGGTTTGAGTCGATTGTATAAATAATTGAATCATTGGAGGGTGACCAAGCTAATGAGTAAACAGGAGTTGGATGGGAGGTTAAAGTTGTCCTTAGCATTCCACTTTTAGACCAAATCTTGACTTGGCCTTCTTCCCCTCCAGTGGCTAAAGCAGTTCCATCATGACTCCATTTGATTACCAAAATGGCACCTTTATGAGCTTCAACTGATTTCTCTAGTTTACCAGTGCGACTGAAAATGTGATATCTACCATCAGTTGAACCAATCAAGAATAGTTCGGCGCTTTTCTGACGCGTCCCGTGACTCCATTTTGGGTAGACATGAAGATCAGTTGGAAATAAATCTTCAGGCAAATTGATGGTTTGGATAACTTCATGATTCAGTGCGTTCCAAATGAGGAGTTTATGGTCATCTCCAGCAGTCAAAACCTCTTCGCCACTCAACCAACCAACACAAGAAGCAAAATCACTGTGACTTGAACTGTTAATGAGAAATTATATTTAGCAAATCAAAAATTATATCTTAATTAGAGAAAAAATAAATAATGAATTATATAATAACTTACACTGGAAAATGAATTTTGAATTTCATCTTTCATTAGAAGGGATTTTACATCCAATCGAAAGAAAACATTATTTCGTTGAAATGAAATCGGGAAAATTGATTAAATTTTGATTAACTTGATGTTTCAGCTATTTGATTTATTGGGTTAAGCATGTGATGATTGTAATTTATTTAATTTGATCCCTTGGAGTAATGGCCATCTTATTGTTTGATAACAAAAATGTCTGTTTTGTGTCAGGTAATGCTTAGCAACAAGCTTGAAAATTACTCGTAAATGTTCAAGTAAAAAGTTTAAGTTAATCAACTCCAAGAGTTAAAACTTGGAGTTGATTCAATCGATGTTATAAAACTAGTGTTGTACGGTACATCTAATAGTGGAAGACTAATATCACAATGTGAACAACAGTTTACATGTGAATTACGAGACCAGTTATTAGCCGCTTAGTTGACTTAGCATACTTATATAGTAATGTATATTTGTGAGACTATTCATTTTATCGGACAGGATTTGATGAAAGAAACTCAGAATAACAGAGCAAACTTTCAAATTCAATGAAAGCAGTTTAGCATTTTTTAGTTCTTGCCGAATTGATCATCAGCAGAATTGTTTGAGTAAACGTAGCAAGTAGCAAGATTTCTGTATTTTGAAAGATGTTTATGCAGAAATACTCTTCGAAAGTTGAGAGTAGGTCTTGTTTTGTTGTTGCATCAATCCATGTTGAGTCCATTTTGGCGATTTAAAACTTCTCTGATGAATAGTTTTCGCGAGAGTCGAGTTAGAAGTTGTGTTAACTTGGATAGCCTTTAATTAAATTATGGAGTCATTGTAAATGTTTGGTCTGTACAATTTAAAACAACTTTATAATTAATCTGAATAAAAAAGCGATTTATGAAGATACAGTCCAGGCTGCACAAGTAATCGATTGACTTACTTTGGGTTTTTACAGTCTTTCACAGGTTTAATTTGGCATCAATAATATTGTTCGCTACTAAAAGATACAAATAACAACACAGTTGTCACATTTATGCACACATTGACACAAATGGGTGTAAACGAAGAAAAATAAGATTCACTAAAATTAAAACTATGTTGACTTGTAGCGGCATGAAAACTGAATCCTTTAATGCAATTTAAAAGTTTCTCTGATCAATAGTTTCCGAGAAAAGCGTGTTCGAAGTTGAAACTTCGATCGCGTTTTATTCAATTATGGAAGCAGATATTTTTATGAGACTCATTTTCCTCGATGTAAATTTTAATGGTCTACCAGAAAATGTAATTTATTTTATCAAATAAAACTTTGTGTTTCTGTAAAACCGATAAGTTCGATTTTGCGTTAAAGCTGTCGCATTCTGTGACCACAGAATTTAGAGAGATGAAACTTATTGTTGGTCGATAAAAATTGTCTCTACACATCAAAAGTATAATACTTATGTCAAGCAATAGATAGGTCGCTTGATTCTGGCCATTAACCCAAAAACTTGAACCTCAATAGTCGAGAA